CCAGCCAGCCAGCCGGATGCTTAGAATTTCGATAAATCTAACTTGGCAGGAGAAACAAACGGCCGGAGAGAGGCTTCTTTCGAGGGAGCACCGGTGCTTGGCTCGCGTTCAAAAATTTCGTTTCTTTTTTCAGCGGCAGCGGAGCGCGCGGTAAACGGTGCATTAACGAGATCGCGCTCGATTCGTCCGCCGATATCGAGCAACCGAGTACAATTGTTCGAACGGGCTCGAAGATGGAATCTCCGCGACGCGTCCGCGATACTCTTATCGAGAAAACCAACTGTGAAATGCCTCGTAAACTTTTACGACGCTATTTACAACTGCTAAAAATATCGCCTCCGAACGTTATTTGTAAACCGTCGAGGGGACTTAGTCCAAAGATTATTGCAACGGCGAACCAAGGTTAAGCGGGATACGTATGGGACACCTTGCGTTTCTTTCCACGACTCTAACCGATCCTCCTCGATATCAGCCCGGAGGCTGACGGTTAGGTTGCGTCACCGTCTATATTACCGTCCACCGCGGCCACTACGTATCGACGTCGAGGAGTAAACAGCCGTTTTCCCCCGTCCGGCCTCCCGCGAGATAACGCCCGTTCAAAACACCGATTGCGACGCGCTCCGAACTTACGCTCTCTCCCCTTACAATTAGTTTCGGAGAGAGCAGAGCTGGCCGTTTGCTAGAATACAAAGTCGATCAAAGGGAACCGCGTGTCCGTCTTCCGGCCGTTGATGGAGTAATGCGCGTTCGTTGTGTTTCAATTGGTATTCGCGGCCCACGCGCGAGCACGCGTGGCCGTTTTTAACGAGCCCGCGGCCGCCAACGAGAGGAGCCGCTCGCGTAAACGAGAGGCGGAGCAACCGCTCCGAAGAGGTCAGAGGCCACTACCAATCGCAATCTCCCGATAACCACTCTCCTCGCGTACGCTGCTTTTTTACACGCGCCGCCTAGCCTCTTCTCCACCTCTTTTCCCTCTTCTCGTGTCACCACCAACGACCAATCGATCCGATCGCCAGGAACCACGCATAATCGCTCCATTTGTACAAGTCGCTTCTCCACCACCCCCGTTAAAACCTTTTACTCCCAGACAAATAGCCCCTCGACCTCTCTGTCCATTCCTACACCCTCATACACGAATGGTCGGTCCATTCTTCTTCCGTCGAATCGACGACATCTCCTACCACGGTCGATCCAACTCGTCGGATAAAGAACAGCGATTGACCGTTTCATCGATTCGCTGTATTCTTCGTAGATAAAACTGCACGCGGTTGCAGCGTCTGTTGCACTACGTGCGCTGCTTTATCGACATCTTATCCCATCGAATTTTCACGTGCCGTAAATAACAGCTGATATTTTAACGAAACAACGAAAGAACATAGTCACAGTTCCTTTATTATCTTTTATCTCCCGCGCAGCCAGCAGGATGTAGATGTCACCACGCGTTTAAACCTATTTCAAACATCGACCAGTTGTTTCTCGATTCTTGCAATTCCTTGCTGATTCCTTCACATTACTACCGACAGATGTCGCGACGTACGGTATTCGCGGGAAAAATTTCGACGATCACGTAAGCGCAGGCAGAACAGGGCGACGAGCGTAAACAGCGTACTTTAAATGTTTACGAAATATCCACGTTTTGCGACGTAACTGTGATTTCCTAGTACCAGTTCAATAAAAGTGTAACAACGACATAAAATAAAAAACAATTTATTAACGACAATCGCTAAAATTACAATATGATATATCGCGCGTGAAAAGCAACGTTTCGCTTTATACATCGCGTTCCTATTTTTCTTCTTTATCGTCGAATCGCGCAACATTGCTAGAAGAAAATGAACGAACGGCTTGTCGTCGTCTCGCGTTCTCGTCTTACCGTATTTGAAAATATTACCTGTCAAACAAGGAGTAACGAAAACCGAGAAGATACGTGCAAAATATGATCGTTTGTAACAATTAACGGTAATTTTGCAAAATTACGCAGAATTTCCTCGCTTCGAGTATACCGTTCAAGGGTTAATTCAGGCTTTTCGTTGCTTTCGGCGTCCATCCCGCGAACAGCTACGGTTAATAGGCGACGCGTGATTCCTCTATCCTATTATCCAACGCAGATACGAAGAACCTTCTCCTAAAGCCAAAAGCAGGCGTGCAAAGATACGAGGAAAGAAACGACGAAGAACAGCCTGTATACGCCAAGGTAAAGTTTTCAAATTCGCCCATTTTCCTCACCTCTATTCTACCGTCTGGCTGATTTCGTACGCCTGCGCCAAACTATGCACAAACGACGTAGAGGGAAACGGATAACCCTAAGTGTATACTTACTTTATCGCGAAACGCGTTTAAAAAGGTATTCCTCCTTATTCCCCATTCCAGTACAGAGTTCAGGTCGTTGGACAGGTTAGAAAAACTTGAAACGCGTCGTTCTCGAAACGATATTTGCCAAATTGGCAACACTGATCTACATCTCGTAAGCTATCGAACCATACCATATCTTTCGAGTTTTTCTACGCATACCCGACGATACTTCTCGCATGTTTCACGTCGTATTTCACTCGACAGTTTTAAATATCGATAGTTTCTTCGCAACAAATTCAGAACAATCGTGTTAAAACGTCTGGTGGAAAGTAGAATACCTTCTTAAAAGAGTTGGACGATGAAAATCGAGGTTGGCCGTTCGATATCGTTGAATGTTCGAGATTGAGAGATTGAGAGTTTAACGACGGTATTGTACACAGACTTGTTACGTTTCGCAACCGGTTTACCATCTCCGAAATCATTTTTCGCGAAGATTCGAGAAACAACTGGTTCGGATCGAAACTAAACGAATTGAAATATCCGTCGAAGCGAATCGTCGTTGAGAGATACTTTGGCGAAATATTACTCGCTCTTTATTCGACACACAATTCGACCAGCACTGCGGGCTCGAGTGCTTTGCAATATTTACAACATACACCGACGACAATAATCGTATAATCTATTGGAGTTTCTTTCGGAATACGTTCACACAGAATCGGTAATAACTTGTACACACGTGTACGCTACATACATGGTGTCACCATCGGTCAACTTTCGATCGCAGAGACATTCTTTCCTTTCTTCGCTTTGCTTTTTACCTTCCTTCGAGTCGATGTGTTTCGATCGTTTGCAATTGTCTAAATTTCACGAATTACGCGCAATTTTTCCCAAAAACCTATCGCGCGCGGGGTTTGTGTCTCTAAAATCGCGTACGTGTCGCGTTACGCTCAGGGCACCAAAAACTTGCTGCATCGAAGGCATCTCGTGGCTATTGTTTTATTTTTTATTTTAATTCTCTTTTTAAATAAATAATTCGCGATTACTTCGTTTGTTTTATTACTCGGTAGCATTGGACGTCAGAGTATCTGTGCTCAACAGCAACAAGTTGCTAGGCTTATTAACTCGCTCGCACATTTTATCCCCACCCCTTCCCATCCTCTCTCTCTCTTGCCCCACCCCCTCTCCCTTCTGCTTTTCACGCTTCTTGGCCCACTCTTTCTTACTTTCACACACACGCTCACGCACGCACGCACACACTTGACATTTGCACGCGCACTCTCATCTGCCGTTTTTCTCTCTCTTTTTTTTTTTCTTTTTCATTTCTACCGGTGCAGAAAATAGTGTTGCTTTTTATATTTTTCATTTCTTTGCATTCGTTTAAAAACTGTCCACTTAAATATCGTTACTTCATAAATCTAAGCACTCTGTTGTATCGTAAAGTTATACATCGAAATCTGTGTTTATTACTTTGTATGGCGGAAAGGTAGTCGCGTGCTTCGAGCATCAGAGTATGGAGTACACGCTAACGTTACATTTCAATGTTCGGACCAGACCCCGCTCGAGCATATTTTCTCATTGACCGAATTAAGACCTTGCCGCGTTTAGGTTAACTATGGAATCGAGGCCGCGAAACAACGACGACGACGATGGCAACGACGAAACTCCACACTCGTACGCTGGAAGCAGCCGCGAACGAAGCCGTACCAAACTAATTTTCTCGTAAATATCATACGTGTTACGTGAATATCGTTAACGAAGACACGCCGGATCGTACGAGGAAGGAGCGGAAAACTTCGATACAAGTACTATCAGCCGGAACGCGATACGTCTCGAGCGTGCACATACGTAAGTAGGTACCTCTGTATGTTACCTTACTATGTTATTTATTTAGCTGCGTTTCATCTTTTTTCATTATTATTATTATTATCGTTAATATTATTATTAATATTATTAGTACTGTTACTACCACGGTGCCCTGGCTGTCGGTAAACTACACAATGTACATTCTAAATCGTTTCACGGTGCTATATTCGAGATAAAACTATATCGATATTCGACTGAGATTGTGTTTTTTTTTTTTTATGCACCATAGTGCGCTTCTTTTCCCTTCGTGCATAAGAGATTTTCTTTCTGCGTGATCCAATCGCTGCTGCTGGGCACATCTTTTACAAAAGCGATGCTACGCGACGAGTAATCGAACGATAACATTTGTATTTTTTTTTTTCGCTAGAAAATCCAACGTGAAACGTGAAATTGTGGTAAAAAATCTTTTCAAAACCTAGGAGTTTTTTTTTCGAATCTCTGTTTTAATTAACGTAACACTTATATGAAAGATATACGGGGTAACCCGTTTTAATCGACAATTGCTCGAACTGGTGAATCTTCAACAAAACCACGCAACATGTGGGGTCGTTGAACTCATTCTACAGAAAAAAGTACGACTTTAATCGTTCCACCGTTGGTTGAATTCACACCTCACGTACATTAGCGTTCCATTCGTCTCCTTTACAAATTTCAATTAAGCATTTACAGATTAAAATGGGCTACCCTGTATACATCAAACATTAGATTACATCGACTATCTCTCGATTAGCGTTTCCTTTTTCATTTCCTTACATTTTACCCAGCGCCGTAAATTTTCTTGTCTTTTGTAGTTTTTTGGGTCGGGCTGCGCGTGTGCACGTGTTAGGAACCTTGATAAGGCAACGAAGGAGCCCTGAATTTTACGAATGCATTAGTTTTGCGTTTTCACACTCATTATTATGCTCTTAATGTTTTACGATCTTCATAATGCTCGGGCACAACAAACAAAACCGTTTGTAAAGTGTGTCCCTCTCGAAGAAAGAGACCCGGTACCTTTATGATTCTCCTTCTACACACATCTGTCGCTGTTCACGCATCGTAATGTTTTTCTTTCTTTCTCTTACCCATTTAATTAACTGCAATACATTTTATTTAATAGTACATTATATAGATATACCGATACAAAAGACCACAAAGCACAAAAGTTACGTAAAAGCTTGTGCCATAATATCTACACGTTGTAATTGGATTAATTCGAATTACGGCGTTTCGTAAGCGAAACTCTTGTTTTAATCACGCGTAAATAAAAAGAGAAAAAGAACAAAAAAAAAAACAAGAAAAGTTTAAAACGATTCATCGTACACCGATCACAAATTTCTTCTTTTTTTTTCTTTCTCGAATATTCGTATAAGATATTACGGTTGAACGTAAAAGCTGAACAAAATCTATACGATCAAACGCACGATAGACCTTGACACGATTACTTTACCGATCAATTTTTCCTATAATTTCACATCAGGATAACAAACATCCAGGCAAAAGCTCTCAAAAAATATATATAAATATAAAATACCTTCTGTTTTTTGTACCAACAAATTTCTAAATTGTTTTTCTTTTTCTTTCTGGAGAAACGTAAGCACAATCGAACAGAGTACAACATTCGTAAAGTTCAGCAGTCGTTAACAGACAAAACAATGATTTGTATACAAAACTTTGAAACAATATATCATATCACAGTACTAGCTATAAATACAACGTTGAAAAGAGAGCTGAATTACGAGGGGGGGGGGGGGTTACACACACCGAACAAAACCCTATACAAAAATTGTATGCATTCTGCGAGAATCACGGGACCGAGGCTCCATCTTTGCATTCTCTTTTTTTTTTCTTTTCTTCCGCTAATGTTCTCACTACCGAGAGAGAGAGAGAGAGAGAGAGAGAGAGCTTATTATGCTACGCTTCGAAGATCGGATGGAAACAATATACACGACAGAACGGAAACGAAACGTGTGTTTTTCTTTTTTTTTTTTTTTTTTTTTTTTTTTTTTTTTTTTTTTTTTTTTTTTTTTTATAGTTGAAAGTTCACTAAAAACGTTACGGTGCGCGCATGAAAATACGTCGGTCCTTCCTTATCACATGTGCATAAATTTCCACACCTGTTCGCCTTCGGAATCATTATCACTCTGTTCTTTTTTTTACACCTTCTTAATCGCCTTTGTTCCTCGTTTGTTCACACTTTTATCTCTTGCCCTTTCACCTCATTCCTTCCATCCTTCCTTCCTCTCTTCTCTTGCTCTTCTTCACCCCTCTTTGTTGCTCCGTGTGATAACGCATACGTAGGTATGTATGTCGTGCTCATCCCGTCACGTATATACATTGTAAAAACGACTTGCTGCCGATGATTGACTGGACCGTGTTCAGAGGATGAAACGAATCAGCCATCTATCCGCGATGCCGTGGATGACAACGGAGGGTACGGGTGATGTACCAAGGCCGGAATTCCAGTTGCGTCAGACTGCTGACTGGTCGAGACCGAGCAAGAAATAGAGTGTTGCTATTTCTTGGTCGGCGTGCCTCGCTGCGTCAAACCTTCGAATCGTTTGAACGTGTAATTAATGAACACCCAGTCCTTGTATATTACCTCTCCGTCTTGAGGCATCGGCGCAGATGCTGTAATCGACGAGAAAAAATACGTTACATCGTTACCACGATTACACCACCGGACGATTCTCTCCTCGTGTATCTCTCCGGTTCAAGTAGATTTTGACATACTCACGTATTTCTAATTTCACGTCTGGGAATTCGTCGAAATTGGAAGTATCGTCGATGGAACGCACCTCGACTGGAATCGCGGCCGGCCTCTCTCTGATGTGCTCCCAGTCGACGCCGCGGAAAAACGGAGCTAGCTTCAGCTCTTCGATACCTCTTTGCGCACCTACGACGACCACACGTTTCACTAAATCGTATCTGAGTAGTTCTATCGAGAAATTTCATCAACCTGATAGTAGGAATATTAACCTAATCTTCTATCAGCTTCGCAACAAAATCTGATGATGGTGTCTTTAGCTTCTTCGCTAATGGGAACTTCCGGTGGAAAAACCAAGGTCTCCCTCCAATTCATCACTTTCCTGTAAGTTTCTTGGGGATTCTCGCTACAGAATGGAGGATAGCCTGTGTGAAACGGTAGACAACCGAGCTGTTAGTAACTTTCCACGAGAAAGTGTGTAGAAACGAAGACGAAGATAACACACAGTACCTATAAGCATTTCGTACATGATGACACCCAAAGACCAGCAATCGCAAGCGGGCCCGTAACCAGTTTGTAAAAATACTTCCGGAGCTATATAATCAGGTGTTCCTACTGTGCTGTAAGCTAACGCTCTCCTGTTTCTTTTCCAGCTCTCGGCTCTCCTTTTACTATCCATCGCTCCGCCACTTCCGCTTCCACAGGACGTCACTGGAAAGAGCGATTAAACGTTAGTTCGCAATGGTAACAACGGGCCAATAATACGAAGAATTAACCAAGTGCTTACTGAAATCTGAAGGCTTCGCTTGACTGAGATCTCTGTAGAAATCGGTTCTATGAGATTTCTTCAAACCTGTACACAGCCCAAAGTCGGAGAGCTTTATGTGACCTCGTGCATCCAGTAACAGGTTGTCCGGTTTGATATCTCTAAAGACAAATGATGAAATCGGTATATTTGGATGTATCGTTTTTGCTTCTGTATCGTTAGGTTGGTCTACGCTTGCACGTTACCGTCTGCAATTTACCTATGAATAAATCCTAGCTTATGAATGGAGTCGATTGCTAACGCTGTCTCGGAAATATAAAATTGCGTGCACTCCTCGGAAAGCGTGTCTTTCTTCATCAACAATGTCATCATGTCACCTGTAACGATGGAGCAGTAACGAAGGAAGCCGATTTAAGGAGGCTCTGCTCTGTACGTTTTTCTACTACGATAATAAGTTTCGGCTAGAGTGTATATAGAAAGGTGAGCTTACCGCCTGGAAGAAACTCCATTATTAAATATAGATTTATAGGATCTTGAAAGCTATAGTACATTTTTACGACCCATTGATGATCCGCTTCTACCAACACGTCTCTTTCGGCCCTGACGTGCGCCACTTGTTCCTTTTCCAGCATGTCGGCTTTTCTAAGAATCTTCATCGCGTACACGTGACCGGTGTCTTTCTTCTGCACGAGTCTTACCTTTTCGGTAGAAGAATAACAAGGATAATAGCAAGGAGATCAATCTCTTTGGTTAGCAATCGGATCAGCGAAGCTGAGGTTGACGTGAAAAAAAAAAAAAATTGCAAGACTTACCTCACCGAAGGCTCCTCTGCCGATTACTTTCAGAGGCTCGAAGTCTTCGACACCGAGTCGGGATCGCTTCAAGCGAAGAAACTCGGTTTCTTTCTGGGCATGCTGCAACCGTTTCTCCTGCTTCTGTTGCTCCGACAGCCCTTCGTCTTTCAACGATTCCTCCAATTTCGCGAGCCTCTGCTTCCGCTCGATATGCTGGGCTATTAGATTACTGTAGTAATTCTCCAACGTTACCTAAAGTCCATAAAACGTAAACCTCAGCAAACTAAACAGATTACCCGTCTTGCGCATATATACCGTGGAAACTACGTTAGGTAATTTCTCCCTTTTTCAACAACTCCCGATGAAAACAACTAACGCTGTCGCGCCTACCACGTGTGTATTTTCGTTCGTACAGTCTTGCAAACAAATTCGACTATACGCGAAAGGGATAGACGACGATAGATAGATAGATAGATAGATAGATAGATAGAGAGAAAGAGAGAGAGAGAGAGAGAGAGAGCTCACCTTGGCCTTTGTAGCCTTGTCCAATGTATGGCCGCTGAAACGGATCGTGCTCTCTGTGGCCGCCATCTCCAACACCCCTGTAATACATGCAAAAGGAGGTCACCGAGTGTCGCACACCAGTCTCCAGAAGCGAGGTCTCGTGCCGTGACAATGACACAGATCCTTCCGCGTTGAAATCCCTCGATCTAATTAAAAACGCGACGCGAAGGGCCAAACTTTCTCAATCTACTCGAAGAAGAAATATTCACCGACGCCGTATCGCTCGAAGAGGTTCGTCGGAGAACGTCGAAGGAAGTAAGCTAGAAGCAGTGGTCTCGAGCGTGGTGTTGCGCCTCGAAAACAGTTCTACTAGTAGCCTTGGAGTTTATTAAATAATGGCCGCGGTGAATGATCGCGGTACGTTCAGCCGTGGCAGTGTCTTTGCGTACAGGATGCGCGGAATCGAGTTTCTTTCGGATTCGTCTAGATAAAGTATGTATCGAGTAAAGTGTCTGGCGCCACTTTCCGCACCGAGTTACTTACCACGCAAGATCTATCGCGAAATCAACGTTACTATTCCTCTCTTTCCTATTCAAATGGTTTCTCTCGCGGAAGAGCAAGAAGCAGGTAGCTCTTCTCTTTTTTTCCTTTTTCTGAAACGAGCGTCGCTGTACGGCGACTGGTAATCGCGATTCTTTCCGCGAACGCGTCGCCGCTCGGTTTATTCCGGGCATGCACGGACATGCGCGGACATGCACGGGCACGGGGGCACGAATCGAAAAAGTCCGCGTATGGCTCGAGTACGCTCGTCCTCAAGGTATATTTCGCGATCCGATCCTCGCGGAACTAGGGACTAGGTACAATGACGTCACGCGCTGATTACATTACGGACTGCAAGGCCGCATTAAACTATTCTAGAAGCCGTACTTTGCGCGTCTCTTGCGTTCAGTGTGCAAATAAAAGGGTAATACAAGACACGCGAATATTACGATACGTGCTCGACACGGTTCCCGCCTTTCTATCCTGCCTTTTGCAACGAACCCCGTGCCCTTCGGCCGCGCAGCTCCCTTGCTACCGATATCTCTACTAGCATTGAGAAACATTTAGAAATCTACACTGCGACTACGCTCCAGGGATTTATTCCAAGCCCTCGACAGAGAGAAATTTTGTGGACGAAGGCGGCGTTTGATGTCGAGGATACGAATCACCGGTGCTCTTTCTACCGTTCGTCGTACGGCTTCTCTTCGACACCGATTACGTAAAATGCGTTCGCATCGCGAGCTCGACGAACGTGTGCCTTCCGTGTAACCGCACACGCTATTATCTTCGTCACACTATTATGTTCGTTACGTGAAACGGCAGTCCTCTTCGTTCTTTTCTTTTACCACGCGAAATCGAAAAGGGAGGAAGCGACGGTATCGTGGCGATTAAACGCAGCTGCAGGATCAAAAGCGGCAAAGGTAGAACGATAAGCGATGCGCACGCCATGAAATTATGCAATAGCTTGGCTGCTCGCAGCCGAAGCGCTGACATTTCATAAACCTTCGGGTTAATACGCCTTCGCAGACGGCTTTCTGTCTCGATCGCTCCGCGGAATACGATTTATGAATTGCAATTTGCTAAAAGTCTGAGTAAACGTTGATATTCGTCGATGCTAATAAGGTGCCGTATGACGAGTCGCGTACCGGCGTAAAATAAGAGTAGCAATAGTGCAGCAGCGTCGTTGAACTTCAGCTAGAAATCGGGTGAAAGTGAAAACGTCGATCGCATCGTGCTACAGTGACCTCTCCGTATCGTATACGAAACGGCAAATAGAACGGTTCTTACGCGTCCTTTTATTCGTCTTTTTTCAAGGCCTATTCCGCGTGAGTTGTCGTTGTCGGTCGGTAAGGCAGCGTGTTAAGCATCGAGCGTCGATCGAAGCAATCGTGACACATAAGCGACGCATGGTAAACTAGCAACAAATATCGCGCGATACCGAGCAAAAATGACGCGTCAGCCGCACCTACGCCGCGTTACGATCGTATCGCTCGGTTCTCGCCCTCGGATACACGCGTACACGTATCCAAGAAATATTTTCTTCTCCTTCCCCCTTTCCCAACTTGTTTCGCGTTACACGTTCCCTTTTACAGGGAAAATCTGGAAACAGGCGCACGAATGCGACGCGTTGGAGCAACTTCGAGTACTGCTACGAGCCGTCTGCCGCATTACCATAAGTGGATCACCATCGATGAAAATTTCGAGATCTCTCTATGCCCCCCTCTCACCTGAAGCTCAACGTCGCCCAATCTGCGCGAGTTCCCCATTTTAGCTGTCCTTCGACGAAACTTGGAGCGAAGGAAAGTAGGAACTTTGGTAGGAATTCTCTATAGACTGGACACGTATCGCGCGTTACGCGAGCGCGCCAACTATCGAGAGTATGAGTCACTTATTTAGCCGCGTAGGCGTTTTCGAAATAATTTCGGTAGATCGGGCGAGAGCCTTTCTCTAGCCGAAATGCTAGACGCGGCAGGCACGCACGATTCTTTTCTACGTGATCGACGCGCATGACGCGCATGATCCGCATTTTCAAACGCGTCACGTTTTCGCGCGACGGTGAACGGACGGGTAATGGCTGCTGCCACGGCCATAAGAATTCCGCGTAGACGTTCCGAGGAACGTCGTGCTTGCTTGCGATTACCGATCGATTATTCCCGTTTCAGAGGGACCCTTTTTCATTCTTTGATTATTTTACAGTATCGTACGCGATATTTCGAGACGAGAAGAGGTCAAATTTCTTTGGAATATCCTTCGGGGATGTCGACAATTTCCAAAGAAATGCTTTACAGGGCTGTCGAGTAAATTCCTGTATTCAGGCTGAAGGTCGTGCCATTGAATACGAACTTTAAGAAGGCAAATATCGCAGGTACTACCGAAACCACTTCCTGGTATTAAAACGAAAGGGTAGGTTTTTTTATAGGGAACTGGGAACTGTATCGATCGATCCAAACACTTTTCGATTTTATTCCCCAATCGACGATAAGAATGTTCAAAAGATGAAGTATTATTATTGTTGTCGGCTGGCTACGACAGCCTCGGAGGACCAAAGGAATTTTCTCGAGCAACGGCAGAGTTGTCGCGGATCTGAAAGGCAGCGCCTAAATTTATCTCGAGGATACACGCGGCGACTGCCGGGTGCAACATCGATCGATACCTAAGCCAGTAAATTCGAGAATATTTCGTCGAAATGTTTCTACTTTTAGCGCGATTGAAAATTCAATCGATACCTCGCTCTTTCCGGCCAACGTTCGCAGATAGAACCGGGATGTCGTGTAATTTTAGTTACAATTGTAGGTGAACGACTCGGGACGAGTTTACGTAAGCACAGGGAAAAGCATCCGGGGATAACATTTTCTTCCGTCGATTCTTCCTGCTTGTAGATCGAACGGCGCCAACACAATCGCTCGTGCCGTTGTAAAGCAAACTAACAGCGGAGGAAAAGTGGATTTTCACTGGGAACTTTCATTCGAGCAGCGTATCTCAGGGTCAAGTACGGCTTTCCTTTGCGAATCGATATGGAAGAACGAGCGAGTACTTTTTTCGGAACGAGCCAAATGAGACCTATACATCTGATTCGGACGTGTTTCGAGTGTTTCGCTGGAAAATATTTCGAAATAAAACCTAAGATATCGGTTTTCAAACTCCCCTCCGTTAACGTGACTCCGCCGGAGATGATCGCAGAAACCATAAATGACGTCGCGGACGGTCACTTCCCGCTAATTAACAATTAGACGATACGTGGTCGCAAACAGCCACGCGGATAAATTTTAATGGTCCGTGTATTGATTTTCTCGGGTAGCGCTGAACGAGAATCCATGGTATAGTGTGTAGCGGAATAAAACAAACGGTACATTCACCTACAAAGCCGAACGGCCATACGATTTTCTGAGAAGAGACCCTTCCTGTGCCTCGTTTCTCGACTCTGCCTCCTTTCAACCGCGTGTCGATTAGAGCCAACGACGTTTATTTTCGTCATACCGAACAAATGTAGCGGTGGAAAAAAAGAAAAAGGAAAAAGGAAAAACATTACGCTGATCCACTTTCTTGACACGGCCGATATGCTTGCTCGATCGGAATCGAGAGGTCAACGTAGCTTTAGGAACCGTTCCTCTCCTTCTCGCACACATTTTCCTAGACGTCTGTCCTACAGCTATCGACGAACGTCGAAATCTCTGTCGAAATAACGGCTGTTACACAATCGCGAAACTTTTCCTGGATCTGTGTATCATTAGCTGTTTGAAATACTTGTTGCACAATGTAGACACCGCCGTGCATACGAAAGGTAAAGCTCGGTGTTCCTATCGAAAGTTGGAAAAATGATAGAGGGCATGGCATTCGTGATAAAAGGAAATATCGAATTTTGCTAGAGAAAAATGTGCAAGAATAAGAATCGAACGAGCATATAGTGCAGCGATACTTTTGAAAATAGAAACAGCAAGGAAGACACGTTGGAACAAAGAAAGAAATTACTTTGGAAAGTGGGGCAAGTTCGAAACGCGTATTTAGGCTGGCGCGTTTTTTGCAATTCGAGACGGCACTTTATAGGCGACCGGTTCTAGTCCACCGTATTAGCCCAATAGTCTTCGCTTTTTACATCCTCCTCGACTCGCCACATTATTCCCCGTCATTTACCGATTTTCGACCCAGAGGAGAATCAACATCCGTGATCGATCGGGATCCGATTGGACCAAAACGGTCCTGCTGCGGGCGTATACGTTTCGTTACACTAGCTATGAAATACATTTTTACGGGCCACGTATAAGAATATAAACTTTGTACACGAAAGAAGCTTCCAATGTCGCACGATAGCATTGTCAGCGAGGTTATGTAATTATAAACAGTACGACCGAAAGAGTATTTCCAAACACTGAAAACACGACACTATATGCAACACAACTTAATAATTCATCGGTAATTACTTTCCGTTCTATAAATATGTAAACGAGCTTTATTGTTAGAAAGAAGAAAATTACGATCTTTCGAACGTTAGAAGAAAAGGAACGTATCAGCCGATTAGCACCGGGGCTACTTGGTCGAATAATAAATGGCAGAAATGGTG